CATTTACAATCAGGAGCTCCTCAGTTGCTCATTCCACCACTGAGTTTACAATGACTTATGGGTAGAAAAGCCATACTAAGTAATTTACTACACTGCAGGTAACTATGGGGAGGAAGTGGGAGGGGAGCCATTGCACTGTGGTAAACTGTGGTCAATGACATGAGACAAAGTATATGTGAACTGCTGTACGGAAAATGAATTTGCTCTGTAAATCTTCACCCAAACCACAATAAATAAATAAATAAATAAAAATACCAACTGACATATTTTGTAAATTTTACAAACTTATCATTTTTCTTCCTAAAACCAAACTCACTGCCATCAAGTTGATTCTGACTCATAGTGACCCCTTTGGCTTTTCGAGGCAGTAAATCTTTATGAAAGTTGTCCTTATACTAATCTTATGATAGTTCAGGAGAAATAATGAAAAGTTTTTCCACCTACACAAAGTCTTATTACTGCTTTGGGTATTTTATTAACTGTAATCAATGCCTCTGCTGACATATATTTGTAATATATAACTAAAATCAAATACACACATACACATGAGTTGAAAAGAAGTCAAATGACAGCAATTGTTGTTGTTAGGTGTCATCAAGTCAGTTTCAACTTGTAGACACCCTACACACAACAGAACAAAGTACTACCCATCTGGCACCATCCTCACAATGCTTGCTAAGCTTAAGCCTATTGTTGCAGCCACTGTGTCAATCCATCTCATTGAAAGTCCTCCCCTTTTTCACTGACCCTTTACTTTACCAAGCATGATATCCTTCTCCAGGAACTAGTCCTTCCTGATAACATGACCAAATTACATAAAATAAAGTCTGGCCATTCTCACTTCTAAGGAGCATGCCAGCTGAACTTCCCAGATAGATTTCTTGGTTCTTCTGATAGTCCACAGTTGTGGAAGTTAAGATTATGTATCAACTTGGCTGGTCAGTGGTGGTAGCTATTCCCCACAATGAGACTGGCAATCAACTCCATGGTGGAATCTGCTACAAGCAGCTGAGTAGCTGGTTTAGGGATGAGGTCTGCTTCCCATATATAAGGAGAAACTTTGGGAATGGTCTACAGCTTTTTGGCACACCTGAACCCTGAATGTAGCCAAGTTTTCACTGAGTGGTCTGCCATGCTCTGCTGATATTAGGACTTTTAATAGACTTGAATCAATGGCCTGCTGTGTGGTTTGGTAGTATCAGGACCGTGCCTTTTTACTTATCAACCTTGGGTTTGTCAGCCTCAGCAGCCAGCAGCTGCTGTCTGACTAAAGAAAGCCTCCGTCTTCTGTGGGCCGGGTGCAAGAAACAGAGCTGAAGTCCAAGGTAGAGGGGCTTTTACTTAGCCCCTAGAGCTTGGAGCTTTGAACGTGGACTTCTAGACTCCAACTGTAAGAGGATAAACTCCTGTTTGTCAAAGCCACCCCATTTGTGGTATATTTTCTGTTAGAGTGGCACTAGCTAATCAAAACAATAGAGTATTCAATATTCTTCACCACCGCAATTCAAATTCATCAATTCTGCTTCAGTCTTCCTTATTCATTGTTCAGCTTCCACATGCATATGAGGCTACTGAAAATACCATGGCTTGGGTCAGGGCATCTTAGTCTTCAAACTGACATCTTTGTTCTTTAACACTTTAAACAAGTCTTTTGTAGCAGATTTGTCCAATGCAATACATCCTTTAATTTCTTGACTGCTGTTTCCACAGGAGCTGACTGTGGATCCAAGTAAAATGAAATCCTTGCAATTTCACTCTTTTCTCCATTTATTGTGATGTTGCTTATTGGTGCAGTTGTGAGGATTTTGTTGTTGTTGTTATTTTTGAGATGTACTCCATACTGCAGGCTGTAATCTCTGATCTTCATCAATAAGTGCTTCAAATTCATTTCATTTTCAGCAAGCAAGGTTGTGTCATCTGCATATTGCAGGTTGTTAATGAATCTTCCTCCAATCCTGATGCCACATTCTTCTCCATAGAATCCAGCTTCTCAAATTAGTTGCTCAGCATACAGACTGAGTAAGTATGGTGAAGAGATACAACTCTGATGCATATCTTTCTGATTTTATACCATTCAGTATACCCTTGTTCCGTTCAAATGACCGCCTCTTTGGGCTATGTACAGCTTCTTCAAGAGCATAAGTAAGTATTCTGGAATTACCATTTTTTGCAATGTTACCTATAATTTACTATGATCCACACAGTCTAATGCCTTTGCATATTTAATAAAACACAGGTAAATACCTTTCTGGTATTCTTTGCTTTCAGCAAAGATCCGTCTGACAACAGCAGTGATATCCCTTGTTCCATATTCTCTTCTGAATCTGGCTTGAACTTCTGGCAGCTGCTGTTGATGTACTGCTGCTACCGTTTTTTAATTATTTTCAGCAAAATTTTACTTGTATGTGGTATTAATAATTGTGCTCGATAATTTCCACATTCTGTTGGGTCGCCTTTCTTTGGAATGGACACAAATATGGGCACACAGTTCGTTGGCCAAGTAGCTGTCTTCCAAATTACCTGCCATAAATGAGTAAGCACCTCCAGCACTGCATGTGTTTGAAACATCTCAATGGGCATTCCATCAATTCCGGAGCTCTGCTTTTTGCCGATTCTTTCAGAGCAGTGTAGACTTCTTCTTTCAATATCACTGGTTCTTGATCATATGCTACCTCCTGAAATGGCTGAACATCAACCAATTTTTTGGTATAGTGACTCTGTGTATTCCTTCTATCTTCTTTTGATGCTTCTTCTATCATTCAGTATTTTGCCCATAGAATCCTTCAGTATTGGAGACTGAAGTTTTAATTTTTTCTTCAGTTCTTTCAGTTTGAGAAATGTTGTCTGAGTTCTTCCCTTCTGGTTTCCAGTCCAGGTCTTTGCTCATTTCATTATAATACTTTACTTTGTCTTCTCATGCTGCCCTTTGAAATCTTCTGTTCAGATATTTTACTTCATTATTTCTTCCATTTGCTTTAGTTACTCTCCATTCAAAAGCAAGTTTCAGGGTCTCTTCTGCCATCCATTTTGGTCTTCTCTCTTTCCTGTCTTCTTAATGACTTCTTGCTTTCTTCATGTATAATGCCCCTGATGTCATCCCACAACTCATCTGGTTTTCAGTTACTGGTGTTCAATGCATCAAATCTATTCTTCAGATGGTCTCCAAATTCAGGTAGGATATACTAAAGGTTATATTTTGGCTCTCAGGGACTTAGTTTTCTTCAGCATGAACTTAAACTTACAGAAGGATAATTGATGGTCTGTTCCACAAATAGCTCAGGCCTTGTTTTGACTAATGGTATTGAGCTTCTCCATACCTCTTTCCACAGATATAGTCAATTTGATTCCTGAGTATTCCATCTAGTGAGTTCCATATCTATACTCCCTGTTTATGTTGCTGAAGAAGTTATTTGCAATAAGCAGGTTTTTGGTCTTGCAACATTCTATCATGGCATTTCCAGTGTCATTTCTATCTCCAGGGCCATATTCCAGCTACTGATGTTTCTTCTTTGTTTCCAACTTTAGCATTCCACTCACCAGGAATTATGAATACATCTTGGTTGCATGTTTGATCAATTTCAGACTGCAGAAGTTGGGAAAAACTTCAATTTCTTTGTCTTTGGCATTAGTGGTTGGTGTGTAAATTTGAATGATAGTCGTATTAACTTGTCTTCCTTGTAGGCACGTGGTTATTATCCTACTACTGACAGCACTGTACTTTAATACAGATTTTGAATTGTTTTAGATTATGAACACAACCCCATTCCTCTTTGTCATTTCCAGTACAGTAGATCATATGATTGTCTGATTCAAAATGGCCAATACCAGTCCACTGCAGCTCACTAATGCCTAGGATATTAATCTTTATGCATTCCATTTCATTTTTGACAACTTCCAATTTTCCTAGATATATACTTTAGATATTCTACATTCATGTGTACAACTGTTTCTTGTCATTTTGAGTTGTGCCACATCAGTAAATGAAGGTCCCAAAAGCTTTACTCCATCTATGTCATTAAGGTCATCTCTGCTTTGAGGATGCAGCTTTCCTTTTCATATTCTGAGTGTCTTCCAACTTGATAGGCTTATCTTCTGGCACTATATCAGATAATGTTTCCCTGTTACTCATACGGTTTTCACTGGCCAAGTTTTTCAGAAGTAGACCTGGCTACATCCTTCTTCTTAGTCTGTCTTCCTCTGGAAGCTCCACTGAAACCTATGCACCCTGCTGGTATTTCAAATACTGGTGGCATAGCTTTCAGCATCACAGCAACATGCAAGCCACCACAGTATGACACACTGATAGACATGTGGAGGAATGATACCAGTAGGCTTATAATAACTAAAATACCCCTTTGCTCCACTCCATCCCAGATTCAAGCATGTTCCCTAGCGATATGCACTTTAGACTTGTATGCCTTTAAACTTTTACTACAATTTCTTTTTAACTTTTATTTAAAATTTTTACCATTTATGTCATTAAAGTAGCTATTAACATCTGACAAGTAACACAGTGGGATATAAAATGATATAGCAGAATAATATTTTTGAATTTTCTTATACAACAAATACATCAGAACTAACACTAGATCCCAGTCTTGGTAATACTTACGTAACAACAAGTTGGCACTCCACCTTGAAAGTTTATAAATTACCCTATTAATAAACAATACAAGTGAAGATGTACAAAGGGAAAAATCAACATACAGCAAAGGAAAAGTTCTGGCAGTGAAAAATAAGACTACACCTGCTTTGTCTCAGGCTTTTGATCATTTTATTGTGTTTCTGTATTTCCTAAAGGTCTGCAAACTAATTTATCCTTAAAATAGAAAAGAGACAACAGACAATATACCAAATACTAGGCCACTGTAGTGTTGATACTTATTCTGTCTTTAGAAAACTAAAAAATGTATATAGTAAGTTTAAGAAAAAGTGAAAATCAGAGAAATAAATGGTATAATCATATATCTGATACTGCAATTTTTAAGATATTCTATTTGTATACAAACAAACCAAAACCAAACCTACTGCCATCAAGTTGATTCTGACTCATAGCGACCCCCATCGGGTTTCTGAGGCTGTAAATATTTATGGAAGTAGATTGCCACATCTTCCTTCCATGGAGTGGCTGGTGGGTTTGAAATGCCAACCTTCTGATTAGCAGTCAAATGTCTTAGGCACTGTGCCACCAGAGCTCCTTTACTGGTATATAACAGTGGCTCTCAATCTGGACTGCACATTAAAGTTGTCTGTTTTAAAAGCACTAATGGCCAGGTCACCTCAGAGATTTTAATTTAGTCTGATGTGGGGTCTGGGCATCAGCATTTTTTTAAAAAAAATTCCCCTAGTTTTTCTAATTGTGCAGCCAGCAGTACAAGCCACTTATATTCCAAGACCACCTCTCATTAACAAGGCATGCCTTCAATTTGAGTTACTTTCATCTACTAGTGCTCAAGGATTTTCTCAACCATTACTCTCTTGCCCTTTACATGCTCTCAAGCACATCTGCAAGAAAGTTTGTAGATCTGGGTTTCAATTCATGCCCAAAGAACACAATTTATTTCTATGCAAAGCTAAGACCTAATAGAAATCAACTCTATGATTCTTTTTTTTTTAATTGTTATTGTGATTTGGGTGGAAGTTTACAGAGCAAATTCATTTACCATTTTTCCATTTTCCATTTACACATTTTGTCTCATGACATTGACTGCAATCCCCGCAATGTAACAGCTCTCTTCCCACTTCCTCCCCATAGTCACCTCCTCCCTGTGTCCTTCCCTCCCATGCATTCCTGGCCCCCCTCAGCGGTCTCCCTGTGCATACACTGCCTTTCTGTTCTCCCATGATTGATCTCTCCAAGGAGTGTATCTACCTGATGTAAATGTAGAAATCAACTCTATGATTCTTGGGTCTATGTAATAAACAACTGCTGAACAAAGGACAAGTTATTTAACCTTTTATTTGCCATTGTTAAATTGTTTAAAATATTTTGAAAAGATATATGTATATATTTGAAAAACTAATATAAATAATACAATAGGGCAAAGTCTCATGATATTTCATTTTGAGAGGAAAGTAACAGAGTAAGTGAAATCTAATGTAAAAATTTAAGTACAAAATTCTAGAAACTAAACAATGGAATTTCTTATTAGTATATGCAGCTCAAACTCACCAGCTGCTCCAAGGGAGAAAAATGTAGTAGTCTGCTTTCATAAAGATTATAGCCTTTGAAATTCTATAATGCAGTTCTACTTTGTCCTACAGGAGTGGTACAAGTTAGAACTGACTCGATGGCAATAGGTTTTAGTTTATATGCTACTCACAGTAGCTGAGATAATAGCAAATGGAAACGTACAAAAACTTCTATGATGAATTAATTCTAGGGATGCACACCATCAACTACACACTAACAACTGGAATTTGGCACATTACGTAGGACTTAGCCTGATTTGAGCAACAGCTTGCCTTTTCCATCTTGTTAGCCATACTTACTGGGTGTTTAAGGGTACAGAGTTCATAGAGAATGCATCCCAAGGACCAGATGTCACTGTAGGCACAAAGAAGCAATGTAATTAAAAAGTGGGTTATGAGTTACATATAAAAATATGTATGAAATAGGAAACTATAAAATGTATATATATTAAAATATATGCATTTTCTAATACAGAAAAAAAGAAAAATGATTCTACCTTTAATAAGAGTAGATTCACAACTACTTCCTAACTGTTAAAGTAAAACATGTTAGTTTTGGTCTAATAGTTACTTGCTAAGAGTAATATTCACAAGTAAAACTCTCTGTGCCTGTGATTGTTAGTTTATCAAGTATCAACTTGGCTAAGCTAAATACAAGTATAACTGCCGTTCCGTATGTAAGACAACATAATGTAATCTAATGTAATATAATGACTCTATCAGTTGAAAAGGGAATTTCCTTAGGGTATATTCTGCCTCCAGTTGTTGTTGTTAAGTGGTGTCGAGTCGTTTCCTACTCATAGTGACCCCATGCACAGCAGAATGAAACACT